CATTCTGATTGGCCGGGAATCCGGCTTCATGCTCCCTCGTCATCTCATGACGAGGGAGCATGGAGCCGGCCTCCCGGCCAATTAAAGCAGGGCGCCGCATCATTACACGGCGCCCGGCTTCCATGATTGGTCAGCAAGACGGCTCCGGCTGTGTACCGGGGGGAAGGACGCTCCTGGCTGGAGAGGCCCCAGGGGTGACAGGCTGGACATGCCGAGGTGAGAGGGGACAGACTTTCTTGTTAATCAGGAAGCAAGTCATTACACGCCACCTAGTTTCCTGAATAAGACTTCCAGTACTCGGTAATTAGTATCGGCGAGTACCGAAAAAAAATTATTGGTACTGGGTACCAAGCTACCAGTATCGGTGCATCCCTAGTAATTGTCAAATGATAAGAATTGCAGCCTTGTAAAACAATACCTTTACAGCATGGTACTGCAACTATTAACAGAAATCATCACCGTTCACCAAAATTACTTCTACATTTCGGAAAGCAAAACGTGACCGGCATCTACCTTCCTGCTGGCGTAATGCATTTTCCACACTAAGATGCCTACCTACCTTTACATCCTTGGCCTCATCTGATGTGTTCTTTGTGAATTTTCCGTGCATTTCTCGAAGTTTTTTTAAACTGTTGAAAAATATCAGCTATGGAGGAAAAAAAACAAACAAACATAAGAAACATACAGATAAGATATCCAATACTTTACCTTGACTCCACTAGGCCGTAGTACAGAAGTAACATCAATGTGGGGACTAAGTGGAGGTCTTACAAAATGCTGTTCAAGGATACAAATATACTCACAAATTCTCATGTTTGACATAGCTATGAGCTGCACCTCTCTGAACTCCTAGCTCTGCATCCAAGCTGATGGTCTGATTAAAGTGGAAGTAAACCTAGTTTCTACTTATCTGCAAGTTGTTACTACATACTGTACTTATGTTGGACTGCGTCCTGTCCATCCACATCCTTTTTCATTGGAGAGATATCTCTAAAGCTAGCCTTTGTGACGTCATTGGCGCATGTGCGCTTAAAGACTTAGGCCTGGTTCACACCTAGGAGTTGTTGAGCAGTTCCAAATGCGCTTTTAAATGCCCAACACAAGAAATCCCATGGTTTTCAATGGCTCCTGTTCACACCCAAGCAGAAAAACGCCAAACGCCCTGCACTGGAACACAGCATTGCGGTACCGTGTGCTCCAGTGTGGGCAATCACACTGTGGGTGGGAGACGCATTTGGGGTGCCATTGAAATGAATGGCACTGCAACACACCTCTTGCAGCAGGATTTGTCAGGCCGGAACCAAAAATTACTTTTCCCACCTTTTATCAATATTAATAATTGTATTGTAAGCACATGTTTGTATAGCTTTAGCCAGGGAATGACAGCTGCCAGTGGCAAGATTCTGCAGATGGCAGTTGAATGTAAATGTAAATTGCAATAACCAATAGAAGGCTGGCTATTACACCTGCCCACTGCCTGCTGTGCCCTCCTCCCAGCATGGAGGAGAGAGTTGGGGAATCCAACCAACAAATCAATGAGAATAGTTGATAACTATTCTCATTATCGATTAGGTGGTTGCAGCCCTACATGGGATGCCTCATGGGATTTTTAGACATTCTGATTGGCCGGGAATCCGGCTTCATGCTCCCTCGTCATCTCATGACGAGGGAGCATGGAGCCGGCCTCCCGGCCAATTAAAGCAGGGCGCCGCATCATTACACGGCGCCCGGCTTCCATGATTGGTCAGCAAGACGGCTCCGGCTGTGTACCGGGGGGAAGGACGCTCCTGGCTGGAGAGGCCCCAGGGGTGACAGGCTGGACATGCCGAGGTGAGAGGGGACAGACTTTCTTGTTAATCAGGAAGCAAGTCATTACACGCCACCTAGCTTCCTGAATAAGACTTCCAGTACTCGGTAATTAGTATCGGCGAGTACCGAAAAAAAATTATTGGTACTGGGTACCAAGCTACCAGTATCGGTGCATCCCTAGTAATTGTCAAATGATAAGAATTGCAGCCTTGTAAAACAATACCTTTACAGCATGGTACTGCAACTATTAACAGAAATCATCACCGTTCACCAAAATTACTTCTACATTTCGGAAAGCAAAACGTGACCGGCATCTACCTTCCTGCTGGCGTAATGCATTTTCCACACTAAGATGCCTACCTACCTTTACATCCTTGGCCTCATCTGATGTGTTCTTTGTGAATTTTCCGTGCATTTCTCGAAGTTTTTTTAAACTGTTGAAAAATATCAGCTATGGAGGAAAAAAAACAAACAAACATAAGAAACATACAGATAAGATATCCAATACTTTACCTTGACTCCACTAGGCCGTAGTACAGAAGTAACATCAATGTGGGGACTAAGTGGAGGTCTTACAAAATGCTGTTCAAGGATACAAATATACTCACAAATTCTCATGTTTGACATAGCTATGAGCTGCACCTCTCTGAACTCCTAGCTCTGCATCCAAGCTGATGGTCTGATTAAAGTGGAAGTAAACCTAGTTTCTACTTATCTGCAAGTTGTTACTACATACTGTACTTATGTTGGACTGCGTCCTGTCCATCCACATCCTTTTTCATTGGAGAGATATCTCTAAAGCTAGCCTTTGTGACGTCATTGGCGCATGTGCGCTTAAAGACTTAGGCCTGGTTCACACCTAGGAGTTGTTGAGCAGTTCCAAATGCGCTTTTAAATGCCCAACACAAGAAATCCCATGGTTTTCAATGGCTCCTGTTCACACCCAAGCAGAAAAACGCCAAACGCCCTGCACTGGAACACAGCATTGCGGTACCGTGTGCTCCAGTGTGGGCAATCACACTGTGGGTGGGAGACGCATTTGGGGTGCCATTGAAATGAATGGCACTGCAACACACCTCTTGCAGCAGGATTTGTCAGGCCGGAACCAAAAATTACTTTTCCCACCTTTTATCAATATTAATAATTGTATTGTAAGCACATGTTTGTATAGCTTTAGCCAGGGAATGACAGCTGCCAGTGGCAAGATTCTGCAGATGGCAGTTGAATGTAAATGTAAATTGCAATAACCAATAGAAGGCTGGCTATTACACCTGCCCACTGCCTGCTGTGCCCTCCTCCCAGCATGGAGGAGAGAGTTGGGGAATCCAACCAACAAATCAATGAGAATAGTTGATAACTATTCTCATTATCGATTAGGTGGTTGCAGCCCTACATGGGATGCCTCATGGGATTTTTAGATCTTCAACATCTGGAGTGCCAAGGTTGGCTACCCTTGGTCTAGCTCATTGTCAGTGAGGCAGCAATATATAATACACATATATATCTAATACAGTGTGCATTTGTAAACACATACATGTGTACAGACACAACCCTGAAGACAAAGTCTATGTTCGGAATTGTGCGCCTGTACAAGTTTATACAAGCCTAATGCCCACCTATGCACAGCCAATAAAATCTATACCCCCCAATTCCAAAAAGTTGGGGCTCTGTGTAAACTTTACATAAAAACAGAATGCAACGGTTTGCCAATCTCATAAACCCAGATTTCATTCACAATATAAATGTTTAAACTGAGAAAATTTATCTTTTTAAGAAAAGAAAAAAAAGGGAATTTTGAAATTGATGGCAGCAACACATCAAAAAAGATGGGACAGGGCCATGTTTATCACAGTGTAACATCACCTCTACTTTTAACAACACTCTGTAAATGTCTGGGAACAGAGGAGACCAGTTGCTGGAGTTTGGGAAGAGGAATGTTGTCCCATTCTTACTTGTTATAGGATTCTAACTGCTTAACAGTCCTGGGTCTTCTTTGTAGTATTTTTCATTTCAAGATGAGTCAAATATTTTCAAATTGGTGAAAGGTCAGCACTGCAGGCGGATCAGTTAAGACTCTTCGACTATGAAGTCATGTATCTAGTGCGGTTTACAATTGTCCTGCTGAAATATGCAAGGCCTTCCCTGAAAAAGACATTGTCTGGATGGAGCATATGCTGCTCCAAAACCTGGATATATCTTTCAGCAATGATGGTGTCTTTCCAGATGTGCAAGCTGCCCATTCCATACACAATAATGCACCCCCATACCATCAGAGATTCAGGCTTTTGAACGAAGTACTGATAACAAGCCAGCAGATCCCTCTCTTTAGTCTGGAGGACACGGCGCCCATGGCTGCCAAAAAGAATGTCAAATTTTGATTCATCTGACCATAGAACAGTTCTCCACTTTGCAACAGACCATTTTAAAAGAGCTTTGGTCCAGAGAAGATGGCAGCGTTTCTGGATCATGTTCAGATATGGCTTCAGGGGTGTGGACATTTTGGAAAAAACGACTTGTCCAAGGACTAAAGCGGGGGCCGAATCTACTTGTCCCTCATGACAATCTACTTGTCCTGATACAAAAAAAATAATTTTAACCAAAACCGTACTTAGCAGTGCTAAGAAGCACTTCTCATTGGTCAGTGCCGTCAGGTGACTGCGTTGACCAACGAGTGCTTGCAATTTGCGAGCGAAATTCAGAGTACATGGAACAGGTACAGATAGTACACCCGTACTGGTGCAGACTTGGGCAATCCCGGGACGTGCGATCGTGTGCGTTGCATCCGCATGTATTAATTGTTTGTTTTTATTTACTTTGTAAAAAAATTTTCATTTGTTTCATTATTTTTACTTAATCGTCTTTTTCTTTTTTACATTTTTATTCAGTTACATTTTTTAATTAATATTTTTTTACTTTTTCTTTTTAACTATTTAAAAAAAAAACTTTTTATTGTCCATGGTCCATTTTCTCAGTTTAAACATTTGATATGTTTTCTATTATGAATAAAATATGGGTTTATTACATTCCCTTTTTATGTAGTTTTTACACAGCGTCCGAACTTTGTTTTGGAATTGGGGTTGTAGTTGAATGGCCACAGGCAGCTACCGTATGTGCAGGGCTCAAAATGTTCACATCCGTAAAACGTTTCTTCCATTCTTGCTCAGTTATCAATCACTGGATGCATTCACATGTATGCCCACGTAAGACTCCGTTCACACGGGGCAGTCTGGCATTCCTGCCGCGAGAACCTACAGACAGTGACCGCGTCTCTCACTGGCAGTACGATTACATGTGGTTTAGAATAGACGATTGCCTGTGGCTGCAGTCACCATGTCAATGACTTCAAGTAGCTGCCTGTGGCCGCTGTCACCATGTCAATGACTTCAAGGGGTACAGTAGCTGCCTGTGGCCGCTGTCACCATGTCAATGACTTCAAGGGGTACAGTAGCTGCCTGTGGCCGCTGTCACCATGTCAATGACTTCAAGGGGTACAGTAGCTGCCTGTGGCCGCTGTCACCATGTCAATGACTTCAAGGGGTACAGTGGCTGCCTGTGAATGGGAAAGCTGGGATTCCTGCCACAGGAATGGGGCCTACACTACATAGAAATCGTCCCATCCAGCACAGAAACTTCAACTTTCATACCTGCAGAGCTTTAGACAGATCTGAGCCCGTATACATGATCCCTATGGGACCTGGTGATCCCCATGGCTGGCATTACCTTCTCCTCCTGGTACACCATGTCTAGGAGGTTGACGTTGTGGAAGATCCCCTGATGGTTGCAGGACACACACTTCCCACAGCAAGGAACAGCACAGTTCTTACAGAAGAGCTCCAGCTTGTGTTCCGGGTGATCCGGACAGTGGCCCACCGCCCCCCTCTCACCATAGTCGGGCTCCTGGCCACACACGGCCCCCCGCTCCCTGGGGCCCCCGCTCAGGGACAGCAGCCGCACCAGCTCCGCTAGTGTAGTATTGACGGGCAGAGCGGACAGGCCGCCGGGGATGGAGCTGACTTTACGGCACAGGGGGCACGTGACCTGAGAAGGCACTGACAAGCCGAAGTGAAGGCTCCGGCAGGGAGGCTCGCCGCATTCCAGTACACAGCTCTTACAGAAGTTATGGGAGCAGAGCGGCAGAGTTACCGGATCCCGGAACACGCCCAGACATACGGCACACGTCAGGCTGGCTTCCATCGCCGATACACACACTCTTTGTGTGTGACAACCCCTGATAACGAGAACAGCTCATACGGAACGTAAACTTCCGATCCGGTATCGCTAAACACTGACGAACATACGCAAGTATCCTTATGCGCGTCCCCGAAAATTGCTTCGCACATTACGCATGTGCAGTCTTATTGCTCGCGCTTCCGGACACGCCTTCTTACGTCATCAGAGAATCCCATGCCTGGTTTGTTGTTATGCTCTGACAGGCGGTGTGCTGTAGTGAGAGAGATGCATGGTGTGTTACCATCTAAACCAGGGGATTCAACTTCATGGCGGGTGGCATCAGCATTATGGTTGCCCTCAAAGGTCCGGTTGTATCTGTAAGACTGTATAAATGTATCTACTCTTTATCATATTAAATAATTGCCTCTGCGCTCTATTATTGCTGATTTTGGTAATTAATTATTAGCTCTGAAAGTAGAAGTCTAGGAAAAATAATGGCAATGAGTGTAATAGTGCAGACTCTCAGGTGGCTGGGCAAGGTCTACGGTGGGCTGTGCGGGCTCTCAGATGTGCTGTACAGGGTCTATGGTGTGCTGTGCGGACTCTTAGATGGCTGTGCAGGTTCTATGGTGGGCTGTTTGAGGTCTTTGGTGGGCTCTGCAGACTCTCAGGTGGGCTGTGCAGGTTCTATGGTGGGCTGTGCGACCCTTAGGTGTCTGTGCAGGTTCAATGGTGGGCTCTGCGGACTCTTAGGTGGCTGTGCAGGCTGTATGGTGGCCTGTGCCAATTCTCAGGTGGGCTATATGTGGTCTTTGGTGGGCTGTGTGGACTCTCAGGTGGCTGTACAGGTTATATCGTGGGCTGTGTGGACTCTCTGCTGTCTGTGCTGGCTCTATGCTGGGCTGTGCAGACTCTCAAGTGGCTATGCAGGCTTTATGGTGGGCTGTGTGGACTCACAGGTGGGCTATACGGGGTCTATACTGGACTGTGCGGACTCTCAGGTGGCTATGCAGAGTCTATGGTGGGCTGTGCGGACTCTCAGATGGCCTATGCTGGGCTGTGCAGACTCTCAGGTGGGTTGTGGGGACTCTCAGGTGGGCTGTGCATGGTCTATGCTGAGCTGTGTGGTGTCTTAGGAGGGCTCTGCGGTCTTACCAGGAGACCCGGTCGGTCTCGGCGGCTGTGGGCGGCGTGGATCCACAGGAAGGAGGAGATTTGCTGCTGGCGTTGTACTCAGGCGCTGCGATTCACAGAAAGGCTGCTGGGACCTTGCTGGGGACTATGGCAGCCTTCCAGTGAAGCCCGACACCCGTTTACAGCGCCGGCTTCATTTAAAAAATTTAAAGCTGCAGTAGAGGTGTGAGGGCCTGGCAAGCTGGATTCAGCCCGCAGGCCTTGTGTTTGACATGTGGTCTAAACATATACAATGTAAAAATGGGAAATGGAGTTTACCACACTGCCTCACCTGTTCTGTATTTATGTTAAAAGTGCATGCTCAAGGACTTAAAGGAGAACTATGGGGTCAGGGCTTTTCCCCATAGTTCTCCTTAGGGTAACGGGAGGACACAAACTAGCGTCCTCCCGTTACCCTAAGCTCAGTATAATTAAAGGGATAGTTCACCTGGAGTCATGTTTCTAACAAAATCCCCCATGCATCTCCAGCACATGAACAACTGCTCACGATAATCACAGAAAGATGAATAGGGCTTTCACGGTGCACAAATGGATATATCAGTTAACACAATGCATTTATTTATACATATTAAACAATGACTTTATTCTAGTCATTTTTAATATGGATTAATAAATGGATTGTTTTAGGTTGGTGCGGCCCTAACTCTAATCAATGAGACGTGTAGTGAAATGATGAAAGAATACAGTACCCAAAATTGTCCACAGGTGATGGTTTAAAAGGTCGTTGAGTCAGAGTTATTGCGCTCCCTCAGTGGTTATTCTCGTACATAGGCACACCCTATGCATGTTTGTGTTTGCATGTGCATGTATGTGGTGCCAGGCGACTTTAAAAACAGATTTTGGTGTTTTTTTATTTATTTAATTTTGTAAAAACTTTTTTGTTACTTTACTTTATTGCTGTTACATACAAAATTGGCCATAGGCGACGCTTTAAAAGATTTTACCGCTCATCAGTTTAGTGTTATCAGTGATTGATGGCCCTAGAATGATTGCTCTCATTTCGACGTTCACGGCGATATGTAACACGTGCAGCATAATTGGAGCAATCGGCGTTCGTGTGTGTAGGCGCATGTAATGCATTTTTGCGCATCTATGTGGGGATGGGGGACTTTTAAAAAATGTTGTGGGTTTTTTGTTTTGTTTTTTGTGTGTAAATTTGTATTTATTTTGTGAGCAATGTTTTATTTTTTAAATTTTTTCTTTACACTTATCTTTATTGTTATCACATAGTGTGCTCCTATGTGATAACAAATTACAGTTACAGGTCCCCTTTATGAAGACATCAGGGGTCTCTAAGACCCCTAATGTCACCTAGGGACCCCCAGAGAAGCTGATGAAGCACAGATCTGCTTCATCAGCTTCTCTCCGGTTTCTGTACCGGAGAGTGACAGAGGAATGCGGAAGTGATGCAATATACATCACTTCCTGCATTAAGAGACGGGGAGGAGAGCAGATGGAGATCGCGGACTGATCTCCCTCCGTTCTCAGTGCACAGAGCCACATCACCCGGGATGGATGGACACCCGGGATCGCGGGGAAGACGGCGGCGGGGACAGCAACGGCGACGAGAGGTAAGGAGGGGGCGTACACTCACTTGCATCATACAAGTCATCGGGTGTCTTTACAGACGCCGGACCGCTTGTATTTAAACGGCCATCGCTGGCCGTTTAAAATCCTGGTGGGTTCCCGTTTGTGCGCGTCAGGGGGCGGGCACGAAGGACGTCCAAAGACGTCCACCCGCATCCAGGAGACTCCCGACCGGCCGTCTTTCAACGATCGGCGGACGGGAAGTGGTTAAAACATGTCCCCTAACCTCTTGTTCTGGGGACAAATTTAAAATGTCAGATTTACCCCTCATTTTCATTATTGGCGTCAATGGTCACCAGTACAGATAGAGGGGTGAGTCTCCCCAATGAGGACACAGACAATAATACAAACTTGACAGAGGGTCGTACCCTTCCCTACTCTATCCAAAACTAAAAAAAACTGCTTAGAGCAGGGGTGGGCAACTCTGGCCCTCCAGCTGTACTACACATCCCAACCTGCCTCTGGCTCTGGGAGTCATTCCTGTAACTGCCAGTCTTGCAATACCTTATGGGAGTTGTAGTTTCACACTAGCTGAAGGGCTGGAATTGCCCATCCTTGGCTTAGAGATACAATTTAAAGTGTAGTTTCACTTTTGCAGTCACATTTGAGAAAACCCCTCCTATTCACACAGCATACTGAAAAATAATTTTACAAATATATTTCTTATCTTTTAGATGTCTCCTTTGTGAAGGCCTTTGTGTAGATTCCAGGTTACTGTGAGCAGTTTGAATGTGAAAGTAGAGGGACAAACCGAGGGACAGACTGGGCTTCTTCTCATTGACATACAATGCTTTTAAGTCATCAACCCTTTGTTAGGACAGACAGTATTCAAAAGGGAACTATGAGGTAAGTGTTTTCCCCATAGTTCTCTTTAGGGTCACGGGAGGAAATATACTAACCTCCTCCCATGACCCAAAGCTCAGTATTAGCCTGAAATATTCTGAGATCGCCGCAGCCAGGACAGATCCAGACAATACTGTCTGGATCCACCCAGCTGCGTGGTTGACAGCTGGCTCTGCCTATCCAGAGGCAGAGCCAGCTGTGCCCGCCCCCTCCCCAGTTCGTTCCTACACTCAGCGCTGGAGGATCGGTGAGGGGAGGGGGGAATCCCTGTAGGGAGCGGTGACTGACAGTCACTGCTCACTGCAGGGAGACGATCGGAAAGTGAGCAGATCAGCGGCATGTTTCTGCTCACTTTCCGATCAATAGAGCCGACCTGTGACAGCTTCTTTGTTGCTCGCGGTATACTGAGACGCCGCAGCTGAAGCGGATCCCGACAATTATGTCTGGATCCGCCCAGCTGCGTGAGTGACAGCTGGTTATGCCTATCTAGAGGCAGAGCCAGCTGTACCCGCCCCCTCCTCCGTCCGTTCTGCCAGTCAGCGCTGGCGGATCGGAGCGGGGAGGGAGGAATCCAGCCCCTCCCCTGTCACGGGAGAGAGCCGTGTCAGGATCGAGAGGTGAGCAAACGCCGGTATGTGTTCGCTCACCTCCTGATCTACTGAGCCGACCTGTGACAGTCTCAGGAGCTGATCTGGATGTGGTGTGAATGGGTCCTAAAAGCAATAGTGAACAAAACATTTCCTAGTCATAGCAAGTATTTGACCCTTCGGATGTATTAAATACTTGTTTGTATTTCACACGTCTGGGTGAATGCTGAACGCTCCTGGAGCAGTGAAAAGGCGAAGTTTCATAACACAGGTTGCCAGAAAGCTATGTTTAGCGCCTGTTCTTTTACAGCCTGGTCATTTTGTATAAGTAGGGACCAGCTGGGGGTTCTTGCCATCATGTAGGGGAGGTGGCAGATATCTGGGAGCCACCTTATGCCAAAAGCTGCCCTTACTTTTCCTGGACAGCTAGGCTCCATGTTTGGATAAGGGTCTGGTATGAATTTTAAGCGTTCATCCTTAAAATCCATACCAGACCCTCATTAAGGATAAGGGTTTTGTATCTTGGGGGAGGGTTCCCTATATTGTTTTTTTTTTTACAGAAGGCAGGGAAATGCAATTTACCATTCTACGCAAAATATAAATAATTAGTGTTGCGCTAATATAACCAAATTAAAATAATATATAAACATTCAGTTATTGAATCTGTATGTACACAATCAAGTCATCAATAGTAAATGTCATTTACCAGCTAATGTTTTGTTTTTTTCTTCCTAAATGTCACTTTTTCTTTATTACATTGTATACATCATACAGATATGCCTCTTCACAGGCAGGTGTAAGGTAACCCCCAAGTATCTTATTTGCATTTTTATGGTCTC